AGTATTACTCCAACGAGCAGAAAAAGACTCAAAGAACAACCCAAAGTCCAACAAAAATCCCCGAGCTCCAGCAGATCAGCGAAAACAACATCAGAACTGCACCTCGACGAGCAGCCTTTAATATTCCCAGTACCACTGAAAGATTGTTAAGATACCATCAAAGGCTTCAAAGTGAAGTCCCTGCAAATAGTGCAAAACCAACATCGAAAAGTTTCCAAACTCTTTTTCCAGAAATAAACACAAATCCTACGCAGAAAACACAAGCCACTACGACGTTCGAAAAGAGAAGAAAAAATTTAGTTCAGTTAATAGCAAACAACTTTGTTAATCTTCCAAAAAGAACCACTTTGCCAGCTTTTGAATTATCTACGCGACGATCTACGACTGCAGAAGATTACATCGGTTTTAGAGAAATGCAAATAGCTGCAGAGACCGCATCATTTGCTCAAAATCAAAACAGACAATTCTTACAAGAATACAGTAAACCATATCGCCCTTACCCGGTTTATACACCAAACCTTACATCTGGTAACGATAAAACCAAAACTAACCCAACATTAACTACATTGTATGACTTTAGAGATAGGATTTTGCCTCAATTTTCTGAGGAAACTACAACCAAAAGGGCAACTTTGTTGCCATACGACATAGGATTTACAGAGGCAAATAATAAGCAAGAGCCGTACACAAGGCCTGGTGTGTCTACACTAAAGGATTTCCTTGAGAAAGAAAGAAATAAAACGTTTACAACAACTGAACTCCCAACAATTTCTGAGACAAGTACAAAACCTAGCAAACGAGACAGTATTAACGAAGATAAAAAGCTTACAATTGAAACTAAAAGCAGTTTTGAATCTGTGACCATGATACCAGATGTAGCCCATGAAGAGAATGAATACATCGAAACATCATCATCAGATAAAACAGACACATATACAACAAACCATGTTCTGGAAACAACAGAACCCACATATACTCCAACTTTGACTGAAAAATACTACGGCAATTTACCAAATAGACCAGGTCTCATAGTTCCACCATCTTTGACGCCGAAAACTCTTCACTCCCTTGCTATTTACTATGCTACTGGATTGGATAATTTTGCAACTACACCACCACCAGAAGAGGTAGAAAGTACTACCGCGACAATTGACGAATACGAAGCCATGGAAGACGGATTACCAGCACTATTCAGTCGACAAACTGTTAATAAATACAGCAACCTGTTTAGACAAGATACCAATAATTCTGAGTTGCTAGAAGAACTAAAACTTGATGCTAATGGAACTTATAACGAATTGGCTAGAGATTTATCAACGCAAATGAGTCAGTATCCGTTAGTCACATCTCCACAAATTAGAGAACTAGCTCAAGTATTCACGCATGCACTTTCCGCATATCTTCAAGACCCAGTTCAATTTAGAAAAGTTCTTTCGGATATCAGACCTACGCCTCCAAATTTTGGTGATATGTTGACTACAGATGAATTATTATACAACACAGAGCCCACAACTACTGTTAATGAAGATGATCAAGAAATACTTGGATTCTCTGATGACCATAAAGCGAGATCCCCATTAACTTCACTGAGGGAAGGAAAGTCAGTAAAACTTAATTCAGAATACATTTCAACAAGTGATACAACTACAACTACAAGTCCAGTTTCAAGTACTACAGATATTGTTACGACGTCATCAACGACAACCACAGCTAAAACACCTTTCAGATGCTGTGGTAGAATAACAGCATCATATACTTCTGCTGCTCCACCCAAGGAACCTGCTGCCTCACCAATTTCATTTACAAATGATGAAGCTGTTCAAGTAAATTTATCAAAACAAATGAGTGATGTTATTTCTACTACTGAAAACAGTTATAGTGCTCAGAGATACGGTGGATTCCAAAATAATGTACATTCATCCAGCAATTCACAATATGGTGAAGATGTTAGTTCAGGTGCCTTCAAACCACTGAATGATTACACAGAAATAACAAACCTACCATCCGCTTGGGGAGTTGATGCTACTTTAACCCCCGTCACAAACGGTAATATTTTCGAAAGCAAACGAATCAAATTTTCCACTAATATACCTATAACCACACCGGTATACTTTACTAAAACCGAAAGTATTGAATTAGAAAATGAAGAGGAACTGCAAAGAGCTCACAGCCAATCATTCGTTTCACCACAAAGTAATAGTATAAGACAAGGAAAACAACTTAATTTAGATGGCTCAAAAGGCAATAGTACGATACCTTCAGAAAATTTGGAAGTACCTACGCCGACGAATATAGATACAACTACAACATCAACTACCACTATCCAACCTACAACGACTGTTAAAGATGACACAGAATCTCAAACCACTTCATCTCCTACATTCGGTGATATATTTACATCTCCTGACAGTGACAAGGCAACATACCAACTACCTACTACCTTTGAGAATTGGCAAAGCACCATGGTAGTAGATCCGATCACTTTGAATGACGGATTAAGTTCAACAGGTTCTGACCAAAATGAATCAGATTCAGTACAAAAAGCTAACCCTCGGACATTAACAACTACTACTACATTCTCTCCTGAATATACAGAAGCAAGCTACCAAACGAGTTCATCTACAATCGCTGTAGAATTATCAACACTCAGTGAAGGAACTCAAGAAAGATATGGAAGACTATTAAAGGACTCCCCTACCGAAACTCCACAAGAATTAACAACAATCGCAGATACAGTTGTAGAAAAAGCAAAGGAAATAATGGGAGGTATGAATACTACGACAGCAGAAAAACTCGTGAACGTAATGATGAAGACAAAATCGAAAACTGTTAGAAGACTAATTTTATTGCTCATTCAAACGTGTGATGACGATCATAATTCAACTGCTGAAGCATCTAAAAGGGCTTTGCTTGAAGCTTTAATGGCAGTTTCCCAAAAGGATATGGAGGACGTTGCTAAAGAGCAATCAGCAACCGAGTTCCCTAATACAACTCCAGATTACAAATACATCAAAACAACAGTGTATAGCCGAAGTATGGACATACAACCTCAAAGATTGGAAAGCAATAGACAGGGAAAAAGTATAAATTTTGACGCAAGCGCAATTAACTCATTATCACAACCAACGACCACAGAAGGTGTTAAAACAGAAGAAACTGAAGTTCCAACTACATTAAGTCCACCAACTACCGTCAACAGTCGCAAGATTTTAAAGAAAGTTGTAATTCAATCATCACTCTCCGATGAAAATTCTAACTTACCCGTTAACAACTATCCAGAGGCACAGGCTAGAGTAGCGTCACAAGTCACAAACCTAAAAGCGTCATCAGACACGCGAGCTTTGGAACTGTTAAGATCGCTCTATACAATTGCCGCAAGATGGGGTTGATAAGTTAACTAAATAGAAACTTGGAATATTTTTACATTTAGGATTTAGTTCTTACATATTTCTTGCCTACGGCTCGAGTCAATACAATGCTGTAAACGCCTTTATCCTACATCGTAGTGTTGTGACTGAGCCCATCTTTGCTCATTATTAGTATACATAGCATTTCAATATTTCACATTGTATATGAATAAATATTTATAACATTTTTAAATTAAATAAAACTAGACCATAAATTAATTAATACGTAAATGTGATTTTGTTTAGATAAACACAGTATTCAAAGCTAAACGAAAAATTAGGTGTAAGCAACAAAAAATTGTTTAGGTTAAGTCGTTACCTACCTTGAATGATATATTATGTAGATATGTTAATATAAAATCATCTCCATGTTACATTTATTTCCATCGTGTTTTTGAATTACATAACTATGTTAGTAAATTAATTTATTATAGCTTGTTATCATTATGTAATGTTATACTTATAAATACTCTTAAAAGATCTGAGTTACCTATTGTAGTCTCAAATGCTTTTGTAGTATTTTACACTGCCAATTATCCTGTATTGTAATATATATTTAAGACTATTTAGATATAACTTATATTTAGGTTATTTTTTACAATAAAATGTTTGATAAACAATTAACTTTTTTTTTTACCGAATTCACATTCCTCGATGTCGTTTGCGAAGACTAGGTACATCAACGTGTATTAAAATACCTGTGGTTACCGTTACGTGTGTTATCAGAATCTAACAAACCACTAAATAGAATGCCTCGTTACCTTATATAATGAATTATATTAGATAATGAATTACCTATAAAATACTTACTAAAATATATATTAGTATTTTATAGGTAATTCATTATCCATTAAAGCCTCTAAAAGTCCACTGAACATGGGTTTCTTCAAAAGATTGCCAAGTTTGGCGGGTGGGTTAGCAACCATTGAGCAATGAACACGTTCTCACAGAACACCAGCGCGAGATAGCAGCTTAATGCCGCTGTTTCGCATGGTGAGTATTGAGAACCAGAGACCCTTTTTACTGGAAATGAAGCATTGCATCCTTAGTCTTTGGGGTGACAACGCATCTGCATTTTAATTCAATCGAGGATAGTAAATAATGTGACACTGACACTGATTTTTTTGACGGCGGCCAGTTTCGACGGTAACTAGGCATAGGCCCAGGATAGGACAATAGTGCACAAGTGTGTGCAAAAGCACAGATGCACTCTCCATTTGCTCATTTTCATAATCCGATGGAACTGCAATCTGACACGACCCACCAACTTTTTGTAAATAAATAAATAAAATAACATTTATTAGCAACCAAATATGTCTAAATGCAAAGGAGATCTGTCTCCTAAACTAGGTTATCACTTGTAGACAGTGCCTTCCCTAATTCTTAGTTCTAAGTCTATGTACCATTAGATCATCGAGGCAGGATATCACGAACAGACGTGGTATGAATCTCCGCATTCACTTTGTCACTTACCATCTAATAGTCGATTCACCATTGTATAAAAAACTACTAATAAAAACCCAAATATAATGAAGTATCTTTATTTCCTTTGCATAAATCTTTTCCTACAGTACAACTTTGTACATAGTTGAATCACTTTTTAATAACGATCTTCTTTGGGTCTTTCTTGCCCTTCATCTTCTGGACGTACTTCTCTATGTCCTGCTCGGTGACCTTGTGTCCCGGCTTGAAGTAGCTCTTGACGCGTTTCTTCTTCTTCATCATCAACTTGGAAGCGGCGAGGGCACCGCGTCGTTGAAGCGACTCGAAGCGATCTCGGAGAAGGTTAGCTGAAAGGGAAAATTAATTTTTTTCTTTATGTAGTAGAGTCATGCTGCAACTATTATATAGTTGTAGCACGAACGGGTCGGCTCAACCAGGGAAGGACCACGCTCTCACAGAGTACCAGCGTAAGATAGAAGCTAAATGCTGCTGTGTTTCGTGTAGAGAACCAGAGACTCTTTTTACTGGAAACGAGGCATTGCATCTTAGTACTCTGGGGGAGGGGGGAGGGGGATAGATGTATGATGTGACAGATAAGCACACGTGTGTATGATGTGACCGATGTAACAATTTAGATGACATTTTAGCTGTTACCTTGAGGCTTTCTCTTTATTACTTTTTTGTCCACTCAAAAGAGTGGCCTATGTCCTTTTTGTTAGCATAAAAATATTATAAACTTAATGTAACAAAAAAGACATAGTATATAGAAAAATTGAAGGTGCTTTATTTCTTCTATACATTTTTTTAATACTGAATTCATAATATTAATACGAAAATTTAAAAACCCCTGAAACAAAAAACTGATAATCTTCAAACGGCTGAAAAGATTTACATGAATCATAGCCAAGAACACTCTCGATCAAGTCACCTTTCAAACAAAAAAAAAACTAAAATTAAATCGGTTCATCTGTTTGGGAACTAAGATGCTACAGACAGACACACAGATACACATAAACACAGATACACAGACAGAGATACATATACACAGCGACTCATATACACAGAGACACAGATACACAGAGACACATATACACAGAGACACATATACACAGAGACACATATACTCAGATACACAGAGACACATATATTCAGATACACAGAGACACATATACACAGAGACAGATACACAGAGACTCATATACACATATACACAGAAGCACATATACACAGATACACAGAGACACATATACTCAGATACACAGAGACAGATATACACAGATACACAGAAACACCTACTCAGATACACAGAGATACATATACTCAGATACACAGAGACACATATACACAGACACACAGAGACAGACACACAGAGACAGACACACAGAGACATATATACACGGAGACAAACAGAGACAGATGCACAGAGAATCATATACACAGATACATAGACAGATACACATGTACACAGAGACACATATACAAAAATACACAGAGACATATACATATATACAGATACACATGTTAAACATATAACATCCCTCTGTTTGCATCGGGGGCTAAAACTCTATAAATGGTGTGGAAACTATTTTATTCACTTTAGCTATGTGAGTCAGATTTTGCTTTTATTAAAAGTATAATTCTTAATTATAAATGTATATCAATAAATACAAAACTCACTATTAGTGGTTATATTCCTCAAGTCTCCTGTGAGCTGCTTGGGATCCACCAAGTCAGGTTCCCTAACAGGAGGCTTATGGGCGTTCAGCGCTGGGACTGCCGTGGCCGAAATAAACTCGCGCTTGGCCGTACGCTTGGCTTGGAGTTCAGCTTGCCGTTTCTCTTTTGCTGAAATCGACGATTGGAGTTTACGGAGCCTGTTGAAGAGATATATTTAAATGAAAGTCAAAAAATCAAAAACCTTGGCGAACATATATTTATCTATACCGACTTACTCATCACGAGATCTCCAAAACTAAACGACAAATTCACTTGAAATTTGGCTTACTCCTTCCTCAACGTAGACATCCACTAAGAAAGGATTTTGGAAAATTGAACCCCTGAGGGGGTGAAATAGGGTGTTGCAGCTTGATGCATCATGAATCTGGGGGCACGGCAGTGCCTTCGCCAAGTCGAGGAAAAAAGCGGCACGGCCGTACCATCCTTTTCTCGAATCAGTTCACGCCATTTTCGATACCCTATAACTTCGTTGTGGATAAAACTAGAAGCCTGAATTTTCAGTAACCAAGTAGGCATTGTATAATCTCGATATGTTTCAAATTGTATTAAATTTGAATCAGTAGTTTAAGAATTATAACTAGTCAAAGTTTCTTAATTTTGTCACTCACTGACTGACCGATCATCAAGACTCTAGGGCACTTCTAGCAGACATAGAAGCTTCAAATTTGGAATACAAATATTGTTTTGCATATAAATCAAGGAAAAATTAAAACATTTTGCAATTTCGGTCCAGTTTTTGAGATACACCAACTGCAAAAATAACTTTGTAATCCCATATAAATATATAGGATTACAAAGTTACATTTGCAGTGAATGAATCAGTGTACCTATATATGTGTAATATAATGGAATAATAGGTGTAAATAGGTACCTACTACGCGTTCATTTCGAGTTTGCCGTCGTCGACCGTTACGACGTCACAGCTGACGGTACCGTAGACGAAAAAAGTCATCATGTTTATGTTTTTTAGTATTCATATTTTCAATAAAGTTAAATAATGTGTTCGATAAAATAAAATATTTTTTGTATGATAATGATGATGATGATGAAATAATAACGTGTTCGATAAAATAAACTTTTTTTATAGTTTCATTTTACATTTTAAATATTTAAAATTAAAAATTTTCGAAATCGCTCATTTCTGTGTCACTGCCATCACTCCATTCTGTGTCACTGTCATCAGTCTCTCCGCCCACCGATATAATCAATTCTCTTTCGTTGAGTTCTTGCAACCTATCGCTTTCCCAATATTGTTGCCGTAAACGGTCAACGTGGTTTACCTCTTTTTTTCCAGTCCTCTACAGAGATACTATTAATAGCTTCCAGAGTGAGTTTTTGTATTTCTTTTTCAGACTGGCTTACATTTTTATCGGCTACTTTTTCACTTCGCTTCACTGGATTCCACACGTACGCGATGGGATTCAAATCACATTGGCACGGTGGTAGGCGTAAGACTTCGTGTCCATGACTTTGGACAATTTCGTCAATTTCATATTTTTTGTTAGGTTTCGAACGACATACTACATAGTATAATTCTCGCTTCGTCATCTTTGGGTCAAAGGATATACCATTTTCCCGCAAACATTTTTGCATAGCTTCTTTTCGTGCCACTGAAGTCGTTGGTTTATCAATCTGGCGGCTGTGATACGTTGCATTGTCAAGTACAAGAATGCTATTGGGAGATAAGTTGGGTAGGAGTTTTTCCTGTACATACTTTTTGAAATTATTTGCGTCCATTTCATTATGGTAGTCTCCTGCAGTGCTTTTGCATTTAATAAGGAGTTCGGCACCTTTGACAAAACCATTCTCGCTGCCAGCATGGACCACAATCCAACGTTGTCCGGGATTGAAATTTTTTTTACGCTTGCATCAGTTGCATTTTGTCAGCATTTTGAAACGGTATAGTGGCTGTGTATCCACGTTTCATCCAAATATATGACTGGTTTTTTATAGACTCCCTGTTCATCATTTTCACGTAATCTCCGCAAGTAACATGCTCTCCATGCTGCTATCTCCGATTTCTGAATAAGATATTGTCTTATATTTTTACATTTTGTAAACTTATATCCAAGCCTCGTTTTTATAATTTTCCAGAGAGTGACTTTTTGTCCAGGAAAATTGAAATCTTTCTTTGCTTCTGCTAATATTTTGCGCAGCGTGGGAACTTCCTTTTTAACTGTGTAGAAACGGTCAATTATGTTTCGAATCGAACACACCATGAAATCATCTATTTCCAACCTCTTTGTGGCTATTTTCCTTTTTTTCGGTGACGTCAATTTTATTTCTTGTGTACTTGAAGTACTGGGCTCAGGTGAGCTCGTTTTAATTTTTTTTGCTTCAGTCTTTATATTCCTTAAAGTACGTTCAGATATACCCGTGGCGGCCGCAGTTCTCTTGATAACGTTATCAAATGATTTTAATAGCGCCTGGTACTTCTTTTCATTTTCCAACAACTTAATTTCTATTTCCGACGGTGCATCGGGCTGAGTGGGCAGTGTGCTGGCACAAACAAGTATCACGTGAGTTTTAATTTTTTAATCTGGCAATACTTTTCATAGCTACGACATCTTGAACATCATAAGGCGTTATCAACTGCTTTTCAACATTTTCTTGTTCAAAGAATGTCATTATCTTATATAATAAATTGCGTTCGCGACTGTGCAAGACTTTTCCTCTTTTACTCATTATAACAAAACAAATTAACGAATATCAACAGAAACAAAAACAAAAAATCAACAGTAACAAAAACAACAGCAAAAACAGTAACAAACTAGAAAACGTACGGGAGCATAAAAAACGGACGTAAGTACACTTCGACGTTGCTATCGGTACTAAAAGGGCGACGCTTGAGGCGCGGAATGAGGGGGCGCGGCGGGAGGTAACGGCATTCTTGAAGTGAACGACTAGCAGATATAACTACCTACAGAAAGAAATGAGATGCCATCAAAAACATAACTTGTAAAAAAACAAGTCTCGCAACTCAGTTCTTCTACCGTAAAAAGTTGTGAGATCCATGTAATACCAAGTCGGTTAATTTATTCAGTCCCTACTTAAGGGTCCTTCTGTCTTAAGTTATTACGTAATTAGCGAACCTAATAACATCTTATAGTGACCATATCAATATTAAAAATCTTTTATGTTTTACATAAAATCTTGGCAATCGCACTAAACAATCTAATTTAATATAATATGTATTGCTTGAGAGATACCATGAAACAAATAAAAAGAGGTGTTGCAACTAGATTTCACTATGTAATAACGCGTGACAATTTGCGGGGTGAGGGGATGTTAAGCCCCGCCCACTTTACACTGTCTACATCTACCAATAAATAGTAAAACTACTCGAATCGTTCCATATTGATGTTGCAATGTAGTTTAGTTACTGTGATGATAGATGGCGGCCTGTTCACAAAATGATTATAAACTATAAAAATAATATTTTGGCGATTAAAATTTCTTTATGTCTGAATGCAAAACAAAGGACCATGCCCATATTAGTATGGAGCTGAAAGTCAGCAATGCCATGCAATGCCCAAATTGCAGCTCTATGTCATATGATAACTTTTTAACAGTATTTATATGATATCTAAATTTAATGTCATATAAAACACCGGTTCAAAAGATATTGGGCATCAAACTTCAAAAATTCGAAGCTTCAATGGAGCCCCCATATATCAAAACTAGCAAGCAGATATATTCTGCAGCATATGCTGTAAAAAAGATTAGAAGTCTAACCAGTGTTGAAACAGCTAGACTAGTTTACTTCAGCTACTTCCATAGCATAATGTCGTATAGTATTTTGCTATGGGGACACGCAGCTGACACTGAAATTATATTTGTTTTGCAGAAGAGGGCCATAAGAGCAATTTATGATTTAAAGCCTAGTCGCTGCGACAAAAATTTAAGGAAATTAATATATTAACTTTGGCCTCTCAATACATTTATGAAAATGTAATGTACGTACACAAAAATAAAAGTAGTTTTATAAAAATAAGTGATATTCATTCTGTAAATACTAGGAACAGACACAAGCTAGTAGTACCAGTTACTCGACTCCATCGAGTCAGTAATTCATTCTTGGGGCGATGTATACGCTTTTACAACAAAATTCCAGAAAATATACAAAGTTTGGCCTGTTCGAAGTTCAAAAACTTTATTAAACTAAGTTTGTATAAAAAGGGTTATTATAATATTAAGGAATTTATGGATGATAATAACCCCTGGAAATGAGGTGATCGCTACCAAGCTATTTCTAATTTGTTGTGTTGTTAATTTGTGTAACATCATGATTGTAAGCTGTTATTTAAAAAAAAGTCCCGCTGGGTTTCTTGCTGGTTCTTCCCAGGACAGAGGTTTTTTCCGAACCAGTGGTAATCAAACAAAAGAGTGACTTTCAATAAGTATTATTTATAATCTATATTGAATAAAAAAGTTTCTGTTTCTGTTTCTGTTTCAAAAAACATGATAACTTCCTACTGGTTTTTTATACAGTGAAAGAATGAGTGACAGTTTTTTGGAATGTTTTTGACTTGGAGCTAAGTCTTTTGAGCCACTACTTCATTAGGTTTTTGCTTTAATTATATTTGTTTATTTGAAGCCTAGATATAGTTATACACTACCACAAAGTACTTTTTTACTTTTGAGTGTCATCATTTAGATCTTTATTCAACTCGTTGATGATTCAAATGTAAAATAATAATCGATATTGGAATCGATTACTTAGATCAATTGATCAACAAAAAAAACGATTCCTTTTTCGAAGAATTTATTTATCATGCCCATTATTTAGCCCCTAACTAAACAAAGCCTAAGATTTTATAAATTAAAAGACTGTCAATGAGGGATAGGTGAACAAACAAATAGTCCCATAAATGGCGTTGGTAAAAAACTAGTCTGTCTCTGACTTTTGATAACAAAAATGAATGCTTAACTGGGCCATGTTTTTTTCATCTGATGACGTTTACTATAAAATCATATTTTTATTTGGTTTTGTTGTAAAGCAGTATATTATTATTCGATTATTTAGTAATCACTTTAATGACTAATATCAATGATGTTGAGTTTTACATGGACCAAAGGACGTGATTCCAGACCGTAATAAATAAAGCATGAATTAATGATTGAAACGATGATACGTACTGCAATTTCAACAAGAATGCCTTATTTTTTTTTATTTTTTATCCAGTGCTTCATATGATTTAAAATTAACAAAATAATGCTAGTTTTTATTTATTAAGAGCAATCTTGTAATATACTTTATCTGGGCATTTCTGGGGCATAGATGGGCATTGTCTTTTCAGCACCTTCGTATGATTATTTTACCAATACTGAGCTCTACGTATCTTTATATTTTTAGTTCACATAACACAAAGTGTCGCCATCTAGTGCCGAATATATTTAATTATATTTCAAAGCCGACGCAGAGATTTTTCTAGAACTATTTTAATAAATTAGGAGTAAAATAACTTACAAATGAAATTTGATGCCATTCATAGCATTAGAGCGTCTATCTGAGTAGTTTTTACACGATAAAACACAACACTTCATCCTTTTCCTCTTAATACTACGAAAATACACCGATTTGCAATTTTAAGCACATAAGCGCACAGGACGAATACTGACAGTATACTAACTAAAGTCACGCCCACTAAGATGACGTCAGGACCTACTTAAAATCACAGTGCACAGTTGCTTATGCCGTCTCCTATTTGTATTTGCTTCATGAGAGATACATTGCGTTTTCATGCGATGGCCAAGTCAATCTATTAATTTAAAATATAAAAGATTTTTAGTATTGATGTGGTCACTATAAGATGTTGTTAGGTTAGCTAATTACGTAATAACTTAAGACAGAAGACAGACTAGCCGTGTAGTGGCGGTTAAGAATGTCCACTACCCCATATCTTCCCGTGGGTTTCGTAAAAGGCGACAAAGGGAAACAGGCAGGAGATGGGCAGCAGCATCTTCCTGATAACAGCAAAAATACAATAAAAACACTGCGGTTGCCAACCCGCTCGCCAAGCGTGGCAACTATGGCAAATACCCCCCCAAATGGATAAAGTTACTAAGAGACGGCCCTCAGTCCCCGGCGGCCCCGCTATTCCTGGCTACGGTGGCGACCATGGTAACGGCGGGGCAGGGGGTGCTAAGAATCTCCGGTGGAGGTTCGGTTGCTACCTACGACGATTCGACCTGGCAACATACAACGCACGCACCCTGAGGACTGACGAGAAGATTGTGGAGCTGGAAGAAGAGATAGACAAGTTACGCTGGCATATTATAGGATTATCCGAAGTCCGAAGAGAAGGGGAGGAAACGGTAATCCTCGAATCCGGCAACTTGCTTTATTACCGGGAGGGCGACCATCTGTCCCAAGGAGGTGTCGGATTTATCGTCCACAAGTCTCTCGTTAACAACGTTGTAAAGATTGAGAATGTGTCGACGAGGGTTGCGTACCTTATACTCAGAATCACCAAACGGTATTCGTTGAAGGTCATACAGGTTTACGCTCCAACCTCGGCACACCCGGATGAGGAGGTGGAGGAAATGTATGAGGATATCTCTAGAGCCATGCATTCCTCCAAAACCCAATATACGGTATTAATGGGAGACTTCAATGCAAAACTAGGCACAAGAGAGAATGGTGAGCTGAAAGTAGGCAAATTTGGAATAGGGCAACGGAACCCAAGGGGCCAGCAGCTGGCCGACTTCATGGAGAAAGAGGGACTCTTTATGATGATGTCTTTCTTCCAGAAGCGGGCCCACAGGAAATGAACCTGGTCGAGCCCCGACGGTTCGACAAAAAAATGAGATTGACTTCATTATGACGACCAGACGACAACTGTTCAGTGATGTCTCAGTGATCGCGAGGGTGAAAACCGGCAGCGATCACCGAATGGTTAGAGGCACACTGAACCTAAACGTTAAGTTGGAGAGGTCTCGTCTAATGAAGGCAACGCTCCGTCCCCCACGTGCTCTAATCCAAAGTCCCGAAACCTTTCAGCTCGAGTTACAAAACCGTTTTCAGTGCCTAGAAGACTGTAATGGAATGAAATGGACGATATGAATGACAAGCTCGTGGAAACTGTCCATGCGGTCAGAGCTAAGTTCTGCAAGACCCGCCGCAGAACACAAAACTCTCCGAGCACAATCTTAATCTCATGGCTGTTAGACGGGATATGAAGCTACATTCTTCAACAGATTTGACAGTATACAGGCAACTGAACAGACAGATCTCCAGATGCATGCGGCGGGACTTACGCAACTTCAATACAGCTCGTATTGAAGAAGCGATCGAGCGGAACCAAGGCTCCAAAGTCCTTGCCAGAGACCTGTCTGCCAGAAAGAGCCAACTGTCAAAGCTGAAGACAGAATGTGGCAGCGTCGTTTCCGGGGCACCTGAGATTTTAAGTGAGATTGAGAGGTTCTATGGGCAGCTGTACACGTCATCGTTAAAGCCACACGCGAGTGTGAGTAAAGATCCAAGAGCGAGTCTTATCCGACATTATTCCGATGATATCCCGGACGTCAGTCTGAGCGAGATTAGAATGGCTCTCCAGCACCTTAAAAACGGCAAGGCCCCAGGCGAGGATGGAATTACAGCGGAGCTTCTGAAAGCGGGTGGAAAACCGGTACTTAAGGTCCTTCAGAAGCTCTTTAATTCCGTCCTCCATGGTGGCGTTACACCGGAGGCGTGGAGCAGAAGTGCGGTGGTCTTCTTCTTCAAGAAAGGCGACAACGCTCTCTTGAAGAACTACAGACCGATTTCCCTTCTGAGCCGCGTCTACGAGCTGTTTTCGAGAGTCATTACGAATCGTCTCGCGCGCAGACTAGACGACTTCCAGCCTCCCGAACAGGCCGGTTTCCGAAAAGGCTTTAGCACCATAGACCACATACATACCCTTCGGCAAATCGTACAGAAGTCAGAGGAGTACAATTTGCCACTATGTCTGGCGTATGTGGACTATGAGAAAGCCTTTGATTCCGTCGAAATTTGGGCGGTGCTGCAGTCCCTTCAGCGGTGCCAAGTTGACTGTCGGTATATCGAAGTGTTGAAGTACTTGTACAGTAGGGCTACGATGGCTATCCGAGTACAGAACCAGAGTACGAAACCTATCCAATTGCAGAGAGGTGCAAGACAGGGTGACGTCATATCCCCGAAACTCTTCACCGCTGCATTGGAAGACGTTTTCAAGATTTTGGACTGGAAAGGATACGGTATCAACATCAATGGCGAGTACATCACACACCTTCGATTTGCCGACGATATAATCCTTATGGCAGAATCACTGGAGGACCTAAGCACTATGCTCAATGACCTCAATAGTGCTTACCAACGGATAGGTCTTAAGATGAAGATGGACAAAACAAAAATCATGTTTAATGTCCATGTCACACCTATGCCGGTAGTTGTTGGAAGCACTAAGCTCGAAGTTGTTGACGAGTATGTTTACCTGGGACAAATAGTCCGACTAGGTAAGTCCTACTTCGACCGAGAGGTCAATCGACGGATTCAACTCGGTTGGGCAGCGTTCGGGAAATTACGGCATATCTTCTCGTCAGGTATACCTCAAAACTTGAAAATGAGACTGTACAAGCAGTGCGTGTTGCCAGTGATGACATACGGAACTGAGACGTTGTCCTTCACTGCTGGCTGGATGAGGAAGCTCAAGGTAGCGACCTTGAGCTTCCTCATCCGGACTATTTTTTTTAATTAATTATAAATTAACTTGTTTTATAGCAAAATAAAATTTTCGATTGTCAAATTTTTTAAAAATAAATTATAAACTAACTAATAGCAAAAGACGTGGTGCAATTACGGATTCTAAAGGAACATTTAAGGAGCAATTAATTGGCATACAGGTTAATTTAAAAAAGTAGTTATTTTATGTTTTACTAACTGTTCCTCGCGACTTCGCCCGCGTGGAATTTACTACGATTTAATGGGTTTTAATTTTTTTCGCGGAACCCTAATTCTTTTTCTAAAATAAAAGTATCCAAAGTTACTCCTATCTGCCAGTGAAAGTCCCGTCAAAATCGGTCCAGCCATTTCGGAGATTAGCCGGAACAAACAGATATACAGACAGACAAAATTTTTAAAAATCTCCGAAACGGCTGGACTGATTTCGACCGGACTTCCATAGGCAGATAGCTGATGTTATAAGGAGTAACTTAGGCTACTTTATTTTAGAAAAAGAATTAGGGTTCCGCGCAACATTATCAAAACCCTAAATTACACGCGAGCGAAGTCGCGGGGAACTGCTAGTTAACTAATAAGAATATAGGTAGAGCAATTACGGATTCTAAGAGAGCATGTAAGGAGCAATTAATTGGCATACAATTTAATTTAAAAAAAATAATGTACTACGCTAACTTCCTTCTGGTATTCTAAGCTATGTTTAAAATTTCAAGTCTCTGAAGTTAGTTTAAATATCAATTACTAAATTTGACCCGCACAGACATAAACGAAAGAGAGTTAATAAAAACGTGGTAAAATGATATTATCTCATTACTTCTATTTTTATTCCGAGTGTGGGTTCTACGTACCATTTATACTCACTTGTAAATATCAGTGATCTTTTTCTTTTCAATCTTCTCTCGCTTCAACCTCTCCCTCTCTTCTATCCTCTCCCTCTGTTTCCTTCTCGCTTTGTGGTCCTTCTTCTTATTCTTGACTGGCGGGTTGATGGCTTTGTATTCGTTGTCTGTTTCCTCATCAGATGGTGCGGTTGCTGGATTATGGGGTTGAGGTAAGCCTGCACTCATCTCCTCACGCCATTGGTTCTGAAAATTATAATTTCTATTTACCATAGTAGAGCCATGCTGCAGCTATATTATGGTTGTAGCACTAATGAGTCTGCTCAACTGGGGAAGAAACACGCTCTCACACAATACCAGCGTGAAATAGCAGTTCAATGCTGCTGTTTTTATGGTGAGTGTAGAGAACCGAAGACCTCTTTTGAATAACAACGCATCTGTATTTTAATTCTTAATCGAAGGTCTATGAGCCACAGCATCCACTTACCATCAGATGGACTGTGAGCCTGTTTCTCACCTTTATTCTATTAAAAAAATATCCTCTTTGAGGGCTTAAGACGGACACAATTAATGTTTTATTTAACGATTCTGAAAGACAAAACATTTTTGCATGACAATTTAAACTTGCAAAAGTAATAAGATATTCTTTGATCTGCACACATTTTTATTAACTATACATTTGCATGTTCTATTAATATTGACAATAGCAAAAGAAGCGTTTTTTTACAGTTTTTAACCACTAACAACTACGTTAAATTACGCGGTAATTTCACTTACACAAAAAGTGGCGGTAATGCAACCAAAACAAATCAGTTACAGTTGATGACAGAATAAACCAAAATCAAAACAAAACGTGCATTTTCGGACTACCTATCATATCAATATCATTTGATATCAAAATCGACATTATTCTTATGAATTAAATGACAAAATCATAGTTCCAAAAATGCGACTTGCAACAGCAAGGTAAAAGAAAACATGAAAATATAAAAATAAAAGTGAACTTTATGTTGTGCACTGAAGGATGATTTTCGTAAGGTTAGCAAAATGTGTAGCATCGTCAAGTCATGATCTGAGTTGCATGTTTTTTTTAATGTTATTATAAAGTTAAATCAGTACACTTTACCATCTTCGATGGCATCACCATCACGTGGGATAGCAGTCAAGCACTAGATTATAATAATAGTATAAAATAATATAAAAACAAAACAAAAATAATAATAACAGCAAGTTAGATAGTAGCTTGATAATGAGTTATACATTACATAAGAATAATGATCCCCAGTCAGGAGACTAAAATACTTTTTCCAATACGAAGGTGACACAGCAACCACTTACCATATGTGTACTTGTTTGTCACTTTTACTAACCAGCATAAATAAAAATTATAATCACGCATCATTACAGACTACAACATGCTGAACATAGGCCTCCCCCATAGATTGCCTCATAAGGCGAAATTTTGCTATAATTGCCACGATTGGCAGGCGGGTTATCAGGAAGACACTGCTACATATTACCTGTTTCAACTTCTCTCTGTCGCCTCTTACGATACCCAAGGGACGATATGGGGTAGTAGATATACTTACACCGCCATTACATGTTACTACGGTATTCTGAACATGTACCTATTTAATTACATATAGAAAATATTTAATCGCAATACACACCTCTTTATCATGTGCAGTCACCTTGCTGAACATCTTTGTAGTCACTCGATGTAAGTGGGCCTCTTTCTTCATCATCTTCTCCTCATGCTGCACTACTTCTTGGAGGAGATCTTGATGCTCCTAGAAACAGAAGGATATATTTCAGTAAAATAAACTTATTCTACATTTTTTTATATAGAATAAGGGTGACTGAGGTATGCTGTGGCGCATAGACATCTACATCTACCCTCGATTAATCCAAATACAAATGCGTCATCACCCCTGAAAACTAAGATAAAATGCCTCGTATCCAGTAAAAAAGGTCTCCGGTTCCCCATTTGTGCAACAACCATATTATAGCTGCAGTGTAGCTCTATCATGTAGGTATATTATGGTTGTAGCATGAATGGGTCGGCTCAACTAGGGAAGAGCCACACTCTCATATTATATCAATAGCAGCTTAATGAGTTTTGTATGGTGAGTGTAGACAACTGGAGACTTGTCACTGGAAATTAGGCCATTCCATCTTATCAAGGGTTATTATATCTTATCAAGGATATTGCATCTGCATTTTGACTCTTTGAGAGGATAGATGTAAATTTCTATAGTCCACTTACCATCAGGTGAACTGAGTGCTTGTTTGTCATCCTTTTTCTGCCGACTTCCAAAAAGGAGACGGTACTCAATTCGACTGAATGTTTTTTTAAGTGCGTTACCTCATAACTTTTTACTGGGTGAACCTATTTCAATAATTGTTTTTTTATTTGAAAGCTGGTACTTCTCGTGTGGTCCCATATTTGATCAAGGTCAGACCAATAGGTTTTGAATTATTCTTAATAACTTGTATTGAAGTCGGCTGTACAAAATTTTTAATTTTAAATTATCTATAAAAAAATCATACCGTTAAAATGTACTGTTGGTCATAGCCCACGCCCATAGTACGGATGATTTGCCTTTACCATCAAACTTCACTGGCTAATTGAAAATTGCAATACCAAACGGTAAATAAAATAAGATTGATATTATTAGAATAATTATTACTTGTTTTTTTTTCTCTGTATAAGAAAAAAAATATGAAAATTTATATATTGACTATGCTTAATTCGAAACGATTGTGTGACATAGTTTTTCAATATATCACACAATCGTTTGAAATTCATAGTACATAATTTTTGAACACTTTTATATCGTATTTTTTAAACACAGTTTTATTTTAAACACAGTTTCATTCATTAAATGTAATAAAAAAAATTGTATTAATATTTATTCAATATTTCCACACCTGGATTTGGCAGAACATAATGGAACTTAAGTCTTAATAATAATTTTGTAACATCTACATTTTATGCAAATAAATAGTTAAAAAAAATTATGAAGAAAAGCCCTACCACACACTCAAAGATACCCATTACCATTACAGCCTATTAAAGTCCACTGCTGAACGTAGACCTCCTCCTAGATTGCCTCATAGAGGGTATATTTGCCATAGTCGCCACAGTTGGCATGCTTTTTAATCACTATTGGGAAGACGTTTATACCTAGTAGAGCCATGCTGCAGCTATATTTATAGTATAGGTTTAGCACGAATGGGTCGGCTCGACTGGGGAAGAACCACGCTCTCACACAATACCAGCTTAATGCTGCTGTGTTTCGTATGATGAGTGTAGAGAATCGGTGACCCTTTTTACTAGAAAAGAGGCATTCTATCTTAGTCCTCACGGCTGACAACGCATCTGTATTTTAATTCGCAAACGAAGATAGATGTAGATGTCTATGGGCCACAGCGGCCGCTTACCATCAGGTGAACTCTGTGCTTGTTTGTCAACCTCATTCTATTTTTAAAAAAACGCTGCTGCCCATCTCCTGATTTGTTTCTCTCTGTAGCCTCTCACAACACCCACGGAATGATATGGGGTAGTGGTTATTCTTATATCTTATATCCCCAATACACGGCTATATTATGTAAGTTATATTTATGTCTTAATAGCATGTAAATTACCCCCTGAGCTTAATAGAGCCTTACTTCCCTAGTCATTTCAAAATTAGAGACAGACACTTCTATTTTGTTTATTTAACCCTTTCCAATATAGGCAAAAAATACTTGCCATGCAAAGTTTCGTAAAGCTGTCACAAAAATAAACGATAATTATCATCGATAAGACTCAATGTTCTAGCGTCGATGTAATAAAACTATTTCTACAGCTCTGTTCTTCCGCAATTTCGCAAAACTGTCATTTGAAAAAATATGGCGTAAGTGAGGTGATCTTTTGGGACGCTCTCGCAAAATCTTCAAAATTTTCAAAATTGACTGTGTGATAATTTAGTAAATCTATTTTATTATATTGGTGAATGACTATTCTATCGTATTTCGTTATAATTTCGAATATATATTGATATCTAATTATGAAAGTGAATATTAGAGTTTGCCAATGCCCGTGAACTGAATATGCTCAGCTAAATACTTGCCGTGAAGTAAACTTATTTGTGGTGAAATACATTGGCAAGTATTAGCTTAGTTATATTTTTTAATTATTTCAGATGTCAAATAGACAATTTGTTTAGTCTAATGATTTGGTTGATCAAAGAAAACAACATAGTAATTGCGGACTCTTCAGAAGACAACACTCTTCTTAGTATTTTCCAGTAAAGCGACAAAAGAAAAAAAACGAAACCGGATTCTAAGCTTGTAAGCCTAAAGAGCAAGAATTTGGGGAATCGTCGGATGATAACATTCCTCCGAGTACTTTGTCACAGAAGTGACCAAAGGCAACGAAATTCTTATTCTACGGATTTTATCGCGCTTAATTATATTTTTTTTTAATTCCCGACATTTTTGGTGCTTTACAGCACTCATGGTCACGGGGGGTTTGAAGTTTTTGAATATTATTTTTTGATTTGATCTACGCAGAACAAGTTTAGAGTATCTTGAAGTCTTGCAGTAGTATGCTACAGTTTGGATTTAATTCTATTAATTATAGGATCCCAAGCAGATGGTAGCACCCATCCATCTTCTCTATTGAAATTATGATGATTTTTTAATTTCAATAGCCTTGCAAATCATCCTTGGTAGGAATCGCGAGGTTCTTTTGCAAGGACAATCTTGGACATGTTCACAGACTACAGAATTCTCAGAGCATTGGTGCTATAGCTATGCCCGGGAATATTAATATTTTAAAAAGACTGTTTTTCATGATTACATGATTATAGTATATAATTATTATTTTTCTTCAAGTATTGGCAAAACAATGTACAAAACAATTTCCTTACCGCTCATAGGCAAATATTATACCACACCTGAAAAACAGGATTACAGGATTTTTTTTAATATTTTTTTTACATTGATACACTTGTTAACTTGTTATTACACAGAATCACTACCTTGTTTGATCTTGTTCTGCCTAGTTTGCAATGCCCGTTAAAGGGTTAACAAATAATAATAATAAATTATATTATAATAATTATATTATATTATAATAATTAATTATCTAATATAATTTATTATATAATATAATAAATTATATTAGTTAATTAATTCATCGGCAGACTGATAAGCTTCAGGTCGGGCAATAATAGGCAGAGAATTGTGCGCACCGTCAGGATGGCGTTTGCTGGGACAAATATCAGTTTGTCCCAGCCGGATATAACGCAAAAACTGACGGAGCGCATAGACGACCTGAAGCAGAGAATCGCTGCTTGGGGGAAGCGGATTCGGCGATATACCGAGAGGTCGACACGGTTCAACCAGAATCGTCTCTTCCAGAGTGATCAGAAGAGGCTCTATGAATCATTGGAGCGACCGATGGTACGTGGAACGGGCCCAGCACCGAAACAGGCCGACACTATCGCATTCTGGCGCGGCCTGTGGTCAGAGCCCGTAAACCACGGCGAGGGCCCTTGGACGGAAGTTGTGGCGAGTCAGTGTGCGAATATTACGCCCATGGACCCCGTCATCATAACGCCGGATGACGTAGCTGAGGCGGTCCGTAGGGCCCCGAACTGGAAAAGTCCGGGACTCGACGGACTGCATCACTACTGGCTGAAGGGGTTCGTGGTGTGTCACGCTGTGCTCGCCCGACAGTTTCAAGAGGCTCTCGACCAAAAGTCGCTCCCGAGCCTCTTCACTACTGGGATCACTCATTTGGTTCCTAAAGACCGGGATTCCACAGACCCGAGCAAGTACCGCCCCATAACGTGTCTACCTACCATATACAAGACATTAACATCCATTTTGAGCGCGAGAATCACTCGTCACCTTAACTCAAATCAGGTGATGTCGCGCGCTCAAAATGGATGTCGGGGCGGTGGTCGTGGAACCAAGGAACCACTCCTCATTGACGCGGTCATTGGCAAGGTGGTTAAACGCAACCGTCGGAACCTCTCCGCCGCCTAGATAGACTACAAAAAGGCATTCGACTCGGTGCCTCATACATGGCTTAAGAGGGTCCTCGAGCTGTACAAGGTTGACTGTACGGTTCGAGACTTCTTCGGGCAGTGTATGGGGCAGTGGAGTACGATCCTTTGTCATCTAGGCCAGCGGATGACGGCTGCGGAGAACCACATAAGGATAAGAAGGGGTATCTTCCAGGGCGATTGTTTGAGTCCAATCTGGTTTTGCCTCTCTCTGAACCCTCTCAGTACCTTACTGGAGGGTTCCGGGAGGGGATTTCAGCTTCGGAAAGGTGGTACAAAAGTGACCCACCTTTTCTATATGGATGATCTCAAGTTATTCGCCTCCAGTCGCTCCCATCTTGTGGAATTGCTAAACATCACTTGTGATTTTAGCAATTCTATTGGAATGGAGCTGGGGACGGATAAGTGTGCGATCCTCCATGTCGAAAGGGGAAGGGTTGCTAACTCTGAGGGCATGGACTTATCTATGCCCATCAGCATAAGGACCCTTTCCGAGGCTGAAACATACCGATACCTGGGTATGTCACAGAACATCGGTGTCGATGAGGCGGGTATGAAGCAGTCAGTTTGCGATGTGTTTTATGCACGCTTGACAAAAATGCTTAACAGTCTTTTGTCGGGCGTTAATAAGACACACGCTTATAACGGCTGGATCATGCCTGTTCTCATGTATACCTTTGGCATACTCAGGTGGACTCAGACCGAACTGAACGCTCTGGACAGAAAAGTCC